TGAGCAGTTCATTCGTGTACGGCAAAAGAGCGAAAACCTTTAACATTTAAAAGTTGACACGTGAACTATTGCTTTATTGAACTCTAGAAAATATTCTGCTGCAAGTATGATTTTTGTTCATGGAAAGGGAGGGGGTAATGGAATATTTTAATTAACTATATTGTATCTCTGTACAGTTTGAATTTTTATGGTCTTACATATATTTTTTAAATTAAGGGAGTTGTAATATATGCTTATGGGTTTTAAAAAAGAATATCAAACTAAGGAAGAAGTTGTATAGTTGCTGTTAAAGTGTGACATGAATAGGTATTTGTTTCTACATTCAGTAAAATTGGTTATTTCCCATTGCCTGCTTTAAATACAAATAGTTCTGTAATTCTTTACAAAATAATAATCTTTGAAGTCTTTTTTGGTGTAAATACCAATTTTAATTAAGTACATAGCATATTTTAAAATAATGATTTAAAATCTGCCACAAAAGTTAGTAAATTATCTTTTTTATCTTCATCTGAAATAGCTGTTGAATATATGATCTGAATTAATTTGGAGGCAAAGTTACCAATTACGATGCTCAACCTTGCAATATACATGCACACAGGTACATGCATATGAGCGTCTTGTAAACCCTCTTTGTATTGCTCTGTATTATAAGGGCTTGTGCTTTTTTTCTTTTCCAGATGGGTGCTTTTATGAGTCAAAACATTAAGAACATTTTTCTGATTTTACCTCTAGGCATTAAGGCAAAAGAAGTACAGGTATTATAACCTGACTTGCTTTAAACATCAGTATGCTGCTCTGAATGACAGCTTATAATTTACAAGTAGGGTGTGGCTAATAAAGTCACTGAAGCAGACACAAGCATAGGTTTCCCCCTCATATACACTCCTGGCCTGTCAATCACACTTCCCAAATGCTTTGTTGCACAGACATGCCAATAACTAAAACCACATTTTACCTGTCTTTGTGCCCAGAGGCTTTTAAAAGGCTATACAACCGAACGGGTGTTTGGAAATCCCAGATTAAAGCCCAAGTCTTCAAGCGCAGACACTTATTTCATCTAAAATAGTGAAACCTCCTTGTATTTTCTTAAAGTAACTGGCACTCTGCATCAAGAATGACAACATTATAGCTTCAGATTGTGAGGGCTTGGTTTTTAGATTGTGTGTCACTTCCAATATTTTCTATGCTTCCAAACAATGTGAAGATAAATGCCCGAAACATTTCAATGGCTTAGTAATATCTACGCACATCATACACGGGGAAAACAAACAACCAAATCTTAAGGCTCTGCTGAGTACACTCTTCAGCATGCGATCCCGGATAGTGCCTTTATTCTTTCGTAGAGTCTACATGTTCTCTGTGTATGTTCTATGCTGCATGGTAATGCTGTACAAACCTTTAACTTTAAAGCATAGATTTGGATGGTAGAAACAGGCTTGCAGACACTGAAAGTCTGTGTACTTTTAGCAAACCATTTTCTTGTTTTAGAGAAGTGATTTCTACTGTACCAGACTTCAGACGGAGAAAACAAGACCATGTGGCTGTAGAGACTTCACTACTTGTACACAATTTGATACTGGTGTACAGGGTGAGAAAGAAAGTTGAGAAACAGAACAGCAGAAGGCAGGGAATCTGAATAAACACAGCTCCAGGCTGGACATGAGTGACAGCTACATCTTCAGCTTGAGAGGCTGAAGGCAGTTTTCAGTGAAAATGGGTAGTGTGTGGTATCCTGGAAAACGGTGTCTCCAGCCTGGGTCATGTTTTCTGAAGGCTTCTATCTCCTGGCTGGAACATCAAAAGTTCTTCTTTGGAGTGTTTCATAATATTGAGATCTTGAACATATTTTCCTTAGTTTGTAGGTATTGAAGGTATGTATGCTAGTGTTGAATGGTATATTTTGTAGCTTATTTTCTATATATGTAGAAATAAAATTTTGCATATTGGTCTTGGATGCAGTGACGACGTGAAAAGGAGACTAAAGCTGAGAAGACAGAAGTGCCATGGGGCACAGATAAAGGCTGGCTCACAAAGGAGCAGCTGGGCAAGAGGCCGGCAAACCCTGTGGCACAGAGGTCACAGTCTTCAAGCCAGACTTCCTTCTGCACCGCATACGGGGATCCCTGAGTCTTTAGTATCAGAGTTGTAGAGTCCTGGGAGAACTTCTCCCTGGATCTCTAGGGTAACTGGTCATTCTTTCCTGGAGCTGCAGGACCTAACTCAGACAAGATCAGGGTTTGTCAGGGTTGTGGGCACTAAAGCAGTTGCTGTCCAAGACTGTGGTGTGGAGAAGACCTTCCCTGGGTCTCACAGGATGAGCAAGAGTACACTGAGTCTTCTGGCAGTTAAACCACAGGTCTAGAGAGGCAGGACATAGGCGGGCCTTCCTCTTGTCCCAAGTGACAGCTCTCGTTGGTGCCAGGTTTCCCTTTTCATGCCAGTAGCCATAGTCTCAAGGCAGTGGGGTAGAGATGGAACCTCTAGGTCCCAAGGGCAGAGCAAAGAGCAGTGTCAGGGTTTGGAGCCCTGATGGTCCTTGTTCTTGGAGCTGCAGGACTTAGCTGGGATCTTTCTCAACTCCAACAAAGAGGCATATGTAATGGTAGAGCTTTCTGAGTTGTGAGTTGGGGAATCATGCTTACTACGGGGCAGGTATAGATGAGGGGCAGGCTCCTGACTCTGGAGGGTAGGGGTCCTAGAGCTGCAGAAAAATCAGGGCTGTCCTCTGCTCTGTTTTGTTGGCAGACCCATGACTTCTGGTGGCATCCAAGCTCCAGATGCTGAGCCACTAAGGCAGGATGGCACCTGTCAGTAGCTGTGGAAGCAGCTTGTATTGCTCTATGTGTGTTCATTAGAAAGAGTGGATGCATTTAAAGTGGGCACTGTGGAATTCTCCTGCCTTTAGGCATGCCAGTCAACTGCTAAGCTGGGGTTACTTGTACATCCCCTGTCTTTCTCCTTCCGTGTAGACTCACCAACCACATCCAGAAAGCCTGGGTTAACAAACTGCCTGCTTCTTTTCTCTGATTGCCTTTCCAGTCGCTGTGCTGTTTAGACTTCATGCTACCTCCTTGCTGGCCGATTTGTCTGTGGTCACTCCTGGAAAAGGCATTTTCCCCTTATCTTAGTCCAGTCATTTCTGCATTCATGAGGCACCTCTATTTGGACATTTTGACCTCTATCTTTCAGTGATTTAAAAAGCATTGTGCAAGTTGGGTTTACCTTTGGATGGTTTTGGATTTTGGAACAGTCACATATAAATGAGATATTTGGAAAATAGACTGAAATCTAAACAAAGCTTAATTTTTATATTCTATATATACCTTACTCACACAGGTATGAAAGCAAGTTTTTTTCAGTTTTTTCTTTTTCTTTTCTTCTTCTTTTTTCTTTTACAGGTCTCTCTATGTACCCCTGGCTGTCTTGGAACTTACTATATAAAAAAGGCTGGTCTTAAACTCACAAAAGATCCACCTACTTCTGTCTCCCCGGAACCCCGGAACTGGGATTAAAGGTGTGCACTACCATACTCAGCTTGCTATTTTTTAAGATGGGGTCTTACTACATTGCATCTGCTGAACTGGAATTCATGGCCACCCCAGCTTCCCGTGTAAGTGGTATTATGGGATGGAGCCATCGGCTTAGCTTGTGCACTATTCCTTGTGCACTCACCACACACAGGCTGGATGTTGTGTCTCCTATTAGTGGAATCATGCTAACACTTTAGAGCATTTCAAATTCCTGGGTTAGGGGTGTATAACCTGTTCAAAACAGACTGACTTTTCTGTAGAGATAAAATTCATGTAACAAATTATTCAAGCCATTAAGAAGTGAATACTTCACTAATTTGTTGTATCTGGGTCAGCGACACTGCCTGTGGTTATAGATTCTGCAGCTCTTCACTGCTTCTGAAGAACGGTCCCTTGAGTACAGTTCAAGGGAGCAGTGGCCTGGGCAGTATGGTGGTTCCTATTCGACTGCCAACTGGAAGGGATCTCGAATCACTTTGAAGACAAGTTCCCAGGCGAGTCTGTGAGGGAGCTTCTAGCTGAGGTGAATGGGGCAGGAAGGCCCACCCTAACCCAGGCTAAGAAAGGAGGAAGCAGGCGGAACTCTCACCACTCTTCACCCCTGCCTTGAGCTCCCGCCACCCCTGGGGACCGTGCCTCAAACCGTGAGCCTAAATACATTCTCCGCCAAGGTGCTGTGGTCAGGGCATTCTCTCACAGCACAGGACAAGGAATACAGCAGTAGGTAGATTGCTGTCTGGTGCTGTTGTGGTTTAACAGGCAGTAAGTGACATCTAGCAGCGACTCAGCGTGAGCAGGACATGCAGCAGTAGCTCATTTCTTGTAGTGGACTGACACTTACACATGGGTTATTAAAAAAGGAAAGCACGAAAGAACTCCAAGTCGCCAAGAAAAGGCACCAAAAGTGACTGCAACAGAACAGGCCTATGGTCATTATCACGTAGGCACACACGTCTGTGAGACCTGACCCAGAAACAATGTGACTTGGTACAGCAAACCCTGACAAAATCAGCAAACAAAATCACATGCATGGTCCCTCAAAGCCACCCACACTGAAACAACCCCAACAAGAGCCCAAGTGGTGTGTGTGTGTGTGTGTGTGTGCGCGCGCGCGTGTGCATGTGCAGGTATGTGGTGTGTGTGTGCGCGTGTGTGTGCATGTGCAGGTGTGTGTCTGTGTTTTCATACGAGAAAGACTGTGCCATAGAGAAGATTCTTTCTATTTGGACTCCTAATATTATGCAGCCTTACAACACAGTAAGTTTGAAAACTATCCACTGAATAACCTAGGACAAGTTACCTTATGCTTTTTTATAACAGTCACATAAATCACTTCAAGAGACCCCAAGTAAGTTTATTTCTGTCCTTATATCCAGCTTAAATGAACAGAGGAGGACAGAAGTTGCCCTTTTATCAATGTCTGAGCAATATAATAAGGCTCTGCCATCTTTGGCATTTCCTCCACCCAAATCCGCACATAGGGAAAAGACTGTGACGAGTTTTCTTCTGAAGTCCCAATGTAGCTGCAACATTATTTACTGTAGACTCTCACACATCCAGAAAAGACAGGATAGTTAAGTATTTGTGAAGTCCAGTATTGACTTTAATACCCACATAACAAAGCTTATCTCAAGTGAAAACATAAATCAAATCAAGAACACTGCAGTCAACGGATCTGGGAGGATGCAGAGCTAAGTTCCTGCAGCAGAGCAATGTGGGTGTCTAGTGTGAATTCCCTCCAGGCTCCTGCCTGCTCATTAGTAGACAGGAGGATAAGGATTCATGTTCAGTTCTGCACATTTGTAAATTAGTTTTAATCTGAATATTAAAAGTCTTAAGCAAATGAGTCATCTGTAATTCTAAGTTTCATATTTACTGTTTTAGTTACCGTATATTTGCGTTTCATGACGACTTTAATTGTTGAATTTGAGCTGCATCTGTGCAGGACACATGGAGGCTCTTTCCTTCCATCATGGGATCCAACAACTGAGCTGAGGCTGTGAGTATTCACCCACTCAGCCAGCACAGCAGCCCCCAGGATGGTGTTTCCATGCATGTACACTTTGTACTCCGCTCATATCCATGCTTCCCCTGCTACTTTCTCCTGTCTGTTCTCCCCATCCTGCTCGACCTCTTCCTCCCCATAAACTCTTCACCCATTTTCCTGTTAATCATGTTTTTTAAACTAGAGCCTCCATAAGAGAAAATGCAGCTTTTGTTTTCCCGAGTCCACCTATCAGGCTACAGATGATAGGATGCAGTACTCCTTATGGCTGAGTAAGATTCCACTGTACACACTTACACTCATTTTCTTTACTGACTCATCGGCTGGCTGTTGACTACTGTGAACAGTGGCACTATAAACAGGTGTGTGAGAGCCCCCCCCCCCCCACTGTATGGTGATTCCAACTCCTCCTATGGATCAGGAGTGGTATATATAACTAGATCAATGTGGTAGTTGAGGTTTTTGAAGACCCTCCATACTGCCTTCCAAACCAGCGGGACTAATTTACATCGCATCATCATTGTACAGGGTTCCGTCCCCCAGAATTCTCACTAGCACTATTTGTTAATAGTCACCACCTAAGGAGATTCTACATAGATTCAATGCTCCCTTGCTCCCTTGCTGACTAAAGTCATGTTGTTGTTGTTGTTTTTTCATGTATCTGCTTGCTCTCTGTCTTTCTTCTGAGAACTCTCTGTACAATCCATTTGTCCACTTGTTGACTGGATAATTTAGAACCTAGGGTGTTTAGGCTTTTTAGTTTATTGGAGATTCTAGTTATTAATTCCCAGGTAGATACATAGATGGACGATATTTTCTATATCTTTATAGGCTGGCTCTTCACTTGTTCCTTTGTGTCTAGCCTGTTTATTTTGTACTACCCTATTGTTCCTGCATGGAACTTTTTCACTATGCTCATACCCAATTCCCCACTTCACAATGGATTTTCCTGGCCTCCTCCTTGCCCATACAAGGTGGCAGGGTGTTCTCAGGTGTATGATGTTCCCCAGGATAGCTTAGCCTCAAACAGAAGGTTGCCCCTCAACCAAGATGCTGCCTGGCTAGAGCACAGTAAGACACTGGAAGTGACAAAATGGATGGGTTTTTTTTTGGTCATTTTTTTCTCTAATGCTGGTCTACTACAAAGTATGTCACTATCAAGGCTTGTGAAAACCATAGGCTTTTCTTAATGCTAGGACTGCTTGCCTCCTGGATGAGGCTTAGGCCACCACCACTAGGGGAACTGGAGCTGGAGCCATGGGCCCTTCCTACATTTTGCCACATAGCCTTTCTGTTTCTCTATGCCTTCCAGTTGTCTGATCTTCTTTGTGATTCATGGTGTTTCTCCTCCATCTCTTTCCTCCTCCTTCTTTTTTTTTTTTTTTGCTTCCTTGAGATAAATTCTACTTGATTACTCTAATTTTTTAGTATTTACACAGTGGCATGGAGGCATCTTTTCACCTACCCATCTTACCCAAGAACTTTTGTTTCTTGTATTTCAGCTGCCTTTTAATCTCCAAATCTGTCAATCTAGACATAAGAAGTAAAAGAGTTGGTACAGTCTCATGGCATAGACATGGAACTCTAAAGAATGGCGTGCACACTTTGGTCCCAAGACAGAAAATCTAGCTAGAATTAAGCTGGAGGCAGCCTCCCTGCTGGAGAAGAACTGTCACCAACAGCTCCACGCAGTTGTGGACCCTGGGTGCTACACTACTAGGCAAGATGACACTATTGGCACAACCGTGGCAGGCCTGTTATATGGGCAAGTAGCCATTTTCCTGATTGAATTTGAGGCTTGCTTCATGGAAAAGAACTCGCATCTGGTACTATAGTCAAAAGCTCATGGCTGTTGAGTTCATAAACTTGGCTGGGAGGAAGCTACTGTTGTGCTAAATAGATTTGATGTGTCTATTAAACTGCCTTCTAGAAATTTTTTGCTTATGACCATAGATCAGCACTACTGTCAGCTTTAGTCAGAGGAATATTTTTTGCAGTGGTTCATGTTTACTGCAGAGACTTGCTTAGAGCAACTGAAAGCTGAGTCCTCTATCACATATCACCCCTTCCAAAACTCAGGGAGCATCATGGAAGAGGGCACTAACAGAATGTGGAGCTGAAGGAAGAGGTGGAATGTAGAGAATGCTTCCATCCGGGCATGGCGTGATTACTGCATTCTTGAACTCTCGGGAGCTGTGATTATCAGCAAACGACCTGTGTATGATTGGCCCACCGACATCCTACCACAGACAGGTGTGGGTCATGAGGCCCCATTCCTCCCTGAGAATATAAATGCATCATCAGCGGTAGCCATTGGTAAAGAAGCCCTTAAGGAGGAGGGACAGCACTCTAGCAGGCTATACTTTGTTCAGGCATGTCAATCACCTACCCAGTCCCTTTGTTGAAAGCCCATGCTTCGAGAATGGAGTTTCTGATGATGGAATACTACAGAAGCTTTAGGAAATTGAGTGGCAGAGAAGAAAGATCAGCGGGTAAAGTGACTGATGTGCAGACACAAAAGCAGGGTACAGCAACCTGTCTGTGGACCTGTGCTGGGCAACAGGAAGTGGGGGAAGGCAATCCTCTATGACTTTCTAGCCAGTCAGTCTAGGTTCAGTGAAGAGATCTTGTCTCAAACAATAAGGTTGAGAGCCACAGGGGGAAACCCCCTGAAATTGATACCCACATTTATGTGTGTGTGTATGCCTGACACATGCATGGATGTAGGCACGCACACACATGCACGGGGGCATGTGTAAGAATTGGTAGTTGTAGTAGTTGAAGGAAACATAAAGCATAATTTTTGTCACTTAAACTGGTGGTCAACAAGGCAATCTGCGAACTCCGATGACTTGAATCTGCTGGAGAACACTGTGAATCCCAACCTTTATTCTAGCTACCAGACAGTTCACTCTTTTCTAAGTAAACTGTAAAGTAATTATTACTGAAAACCTTTGCGTCAGCTGTGGCGGGGTGCACTAAGGAAGGGCACACAGGTGGGCTGTCTAGGAGTCTAGAGAGAGCCTGGTCTACACAGTATGAGTTTCAGGCTAGTTAGTGAGACACCATCCAGCAACACATAAAACCCTTTTAAAGGTATTGTTCTCAGGATTTCTTGATGTTTCTGACTGAGTCTTGGTGTTATGTTCTATCCATCACATCAAGTCATCTTACTTTGAATAAACAGAAGAAAGGTTATAAAAACAGCATACATATTGCCCATCATAGAAACATTTGCCAGCTATTTCTTCTGCTTAAATAAACTCATTTCAAATATCCACATGGCCAACTTGAAAAAACTATAAATTTCATAAAACAATGAAACAAGCTTCTCTACATATCATTGCAGTACTATGCTTATGAATAAGTCTAATTTTGAAAAAGATAGGCGGTTTTAACAGAAACAGTATTTCTCCTTCACATTTTATCTCGTCTTCTGCCTTTGCACATGAGGGCATGAGCACAAGCCTGACGGTCTTCTTCCTTAGCAGCCGCTCACAGAGAAAGAACATAGCGACTCACTGCTACAAATAAAAAAGAATAAAATAAAATGAGTAGAAAATTTACCCAGTATCTGAGGCATGCACTCACTAAGCAAAATCACCATGAAAATCTAAATAATCTAGACTAACTCTCAATACTTTCACTGGTGATTACAGAGGCAATTGAAGTAAAAAGTCATGAAATTTAGACAATGTAGGAGAAATAATTTCTCTGACTGGAGAAAAGTAATGCACACACGCACACATGCACACGCACACACACGTCTCCATTAAAGCAGACTACTTAACTAAGTGGCATTTAATCTTCTATATTATAAATATAGCTGTAAGTCAAAATATCCACTAAATTAACAAGTCAATCCCCTTCAATTTCAGGGATTGCTTCCGATTCACGAGTCTACAGAATAGGCTACCTCTGGGTGTAATTTGTCCACATGCTGCACAGCGGTTCTGAGGAGACTGAGCTGAAGCTCAGAGCCACCTTCCTGCAGTGTGCTGCCCTTGTCAGAGGGGCCCAGATTTAGTACTGCTTAGCATATGTGGAAGAAAAGAGGATAAAGAACCTATATTACTCGTGTGTGTCAAAATTGTTAAATTGGAGTAGTAAACTGGTACCAGTTAATGCTACGGCAGCAGGACATACAGGAACATCAGTGAACTTCTAAGCAATGGCAGGGAGACTCTGAGTGCACAGCAAGCAATTAAATGTCCATGGCCTTCAACTCTTTGTCCTTATCTTTACAGTGGAAACCAGTACTTAACTCCAGTGGTTACTACACATGCAAAACTTGACTGTGACTATGCCTAGTGAACAGCATGCCTTAACAGAGGAGTTATTTTCCAGGAAAACTGACTCCAGTACGGCAGCAGTTCTCAGCCTGTGGTCACAACTGGAGGGTTAAAGGTGGAAAGAATGCCCTGCCCCTGACTTGATCCCAGGACAAGGGCTTGAAATCCCACCAATCCTTAAACTTGCCCCAGAGTCAGACTGCAGAATCCCACCAACCCCTGAGTTTGTTCCAGAAGCAGGAGACAAAACCACACCAATCCCAAGCCACCCAGGAAAGCTTCATCTTGCCCACAAGATACCCTCTGTATTCTGTTCAGTTTGCTGCTGTGTCTCACTCTAGAGGAGCCACCCTGTGGATTTTCCCTTCCCAGTAAATCTCTTGAGAGAGGCTGTGAGGCTTGTGTGGCTTGGCACTTTCGACAGAAAGTAGCGCAGCTGTAACAACTTTCACCTGGGCTGGGGAGGAGCAGCACCGTAAAACCTTCGCTGGGGAAACCGTTCTCTAGCGGAGCAGAGTTGGTACAACCCCAGCGACTGGAGCAGAGCTGAACACTCTGCTGGAGCAGAGCAGAGCTGTACGCGGCTACGCTAGCAGAGCCTTTGTGTTAGTCTTGGCTCCTGACTGCCAGGATACCTTTCCATCTGAGCTGAAGGTTTTCAGTGACCCCCTTGGGGATCACGTATCAGACATCCTGCATATCAGATTTTTACATTACTCTTATGAAGTAGCAACTTAACAATTTTATGGTTGGGGCACCACAACATGAGGAACTGTATCAAAGGGTCACAGCATTACGAAGGTTGAGAACCACCACATTATATTCTTATCCTGATATAATTCCAGCTTTGGACTCAGCACAGTGCAGACAATATCTCCTCAGTAAAATACTAACTCCCTTTGCTTAGTAACTGTTAATTTAATGACAGGCAAGTTTAGATAAGCCTATGCCTTTTAAATACAATAATTTAGTATTTCAGAATTCAAAACCATGCTCAAGAGTTGGGTATGTAGCTGAGGGGTAGAGCACTTGGCTAGTATATATGAGACCCACATTTAAGCCCAGTCCTGCAAAGAAAAGATAAAATTTAAATAATAACAATTTCTCCTGAAATATTTAAATAACTACTTCTCTTAGAATTGGTCTAATTTGAAATAGCACATCCTGTGATTGACACACACACACACACACACACACACACAGAGAGAGAGAGAGAGAGAGAGAGAGAGAGAGAGAGAGAGGTTTGAAAAGCATGGTACTTTAGGGGTGTCACCTTCAACTCTCCGTACCTCAGTGGTAATGTAGCTTTGTGAAGAGTTCTGAAGCCAAGCGAAACAGTGAAAGGGTTAGAATTATATCTTCATACAAAAGTTCCCAGAACAAACTTGGCATGTCATAATAAAGCAAGATGTGGAACACAGTTCACTTCCTGCTGCCTATGGATCAGGATGTAGGACTCTCAGCTCCTTCTCCAGCTCCATGTCTGTCTGCACGCCACCATGAAGATAATGAATAAACCCCAGAAACTGTAAGCCAGTCCCAAGTAAATGTTTCCTTTATAAAAGTTTCTGTGGTCATGGTGTCTCCTCACAGCGGTAGAAACCCTAACTAAGACAGAAGAGAAAGGTGATGTAGAGTCAGAAGCAGACTGGCAGGAGTATACTTCCTAGGTGTAACTGGCAGGATGATGTAGCCTGTCAAGCAGAGTGTGCCACAACTGAATTACTTACAGAATTAAAAATTTCTTTTGAAATATAATTTTAGAACAAGACACTATTTAGAACAAGAACACTATTTTTAGATATTTAAAAATTTTTATAGAAGTATGTATTGTGCATGAGCTCGCCCATCTCTATATGAGCTCACCACCTCTAAACGAACTCAACACATCCATATGAGCTCACCACCTCTATAGGAGCACACCCACATCTATATGAACATATCCACCTCTATGAACACACTCATCTCTATAGGAGCACACTAACCTCTATAGGATCATGCCCAGCTCTGTATGAACATACCTGCCTCTAAAAGAGCACGCACAACCACGTCTAAAGGAGCACACCCACGTCTAAAGGAGCACACCCACGTTTAAAGGAGCACACCCACGTCTAAAGGAGCACACCCACGTCTAAAGGAGCACACCCACGTCTAAAGGAGCACACCCACGTCTAAAGGAGCACACCCACGTCTAAAGGAGTACACCTATGTCTAAAGGAGCACACCCACATCTAAAGGAGCACTCTCCCTCTGCTTCCTTCCTTTGTTCATCCTTCACTTCTGTTGTCTCCTTTGTTCCCTAAACAATTTCACTTCCACTTTCTTGTCAAATATATGTGCATATTTTATGTACTTACATAAAATTTAAAGACCACGAATGAGAGAGAACACATATATTTGTGTTCATGAGACTGACTTAATTGGTTTAATTTGAAAATCTACAGTTGCATCCAATTTCCTGCTAATGATATTACTTCATTCTTCAGGGCTGACAATTCCATTGCATATATACCACTTTGTCTCTTCATTTATCTGGTGTTGAACACTAGGTTGGTCTGAAGCTTAGCTACTGTGAATGGTGCTGCACTAAACACTGCTGTCCAAACACATCCGTGATGTGCTAACTCAGAGTCCTTCAGGGAAATACCCAGGAATGACATAGTTGGGTCATATAGTAGCTCTATTTTTAGTACTATTGAGAGAGTCTGTGGACGACTGGCTCAGTTTGCATTCCTATCACCAGTGTGCAAGTTTTCTCGTTGGTCTGTATCTTTGCCAGCATTTGTTATTTCTTTTCATAGTAACTGCCATTCTTATGAAGATGGAATCTCAATTTTGATTAGTGTTTCCCTGATGGCTAGAGTAAGGTTGAACATTTTTCCCTGTGTTTATTGGCCAGTTCTATTTCATCTTTTGAGAACTATCTGTTCACTTGATCAGCCCACTTATTTATTTGATGTTTTAAGAACAAGATACTTTATGAACCAACTTTCGCTTTTATCATTGTGGCACCAACTGGATGCACACCTTTACCGTGACTCTAGACAAACCAAACAGACATTTTAGGACGAAGAGAACTTGCTAAAACCCAAGCTCGGAATGATTTTTCAGTGACGTGGGACATACTGATAACATGCTGGTAAACAGAAAGCAAGATGAGGACACAGCCTAGTGGTGGTGAAGCCACCTTAGGACCCAGTGGTGGGGCCTGACAGTCCTGGAGTACAACTTGAGTTGTGGAGACAGAGCAAGGCACCTTCTCTTTCAAGTCACTGTGATGTGTGATCTCTTGTTCAATGACATCCTAGAAATGTTCCAGAGAGGAGACCTCACCTAATAGCTAAGAGGAATATTCCTAGAATCAGCAATAGACCATAGTGCACACGTAGCCTACGTCAAGAATCAAAGTGTAAAAAATAGATTCACCAAATAGTTTGTGCTGTGCTGAGACCGATGCCAATCTGACTTCTCAGGCACATACTGCAAATGACACGGTAATAGTCTCCCTTAAAGAAAGATCGTACAGGGTGCCCACACTTACTTCTCACCCAACACAAACAACTCACTCCATATTTAATAAAGAGTATGAAACCCTAACTAGGTAGAAATTGGTGCATAATAAAAAGAATTTGTAAACTTGTATTTTACAGGTGTTGTAGCTTATCACTCAAGAATTCTTCTTATGACGAACACATACCATGCTTTAATTTGAAAGGCGCTATTAATAGCTAACCATTACTAAACTTAATTCTTTGCCAGTCACTGTTCAAAGCATGAATTAACTAACCCAATCCCATGCTAATCTATAACCTATAACTATATAGTTATATACATATATATAAATACAGATATGTATAACTATAGCTAAATAACCTATAACTATAATCTAGTATCTATTGAGAATATACAGAGAAGCTAGGCACAGAGAAGGTCAATTCCTTACCCATGGACTTGGTAGTAAGTAGGTGAGTGCCAAAGCCCAAACTCAGCTGCCACCATGCTGCATTCTATAAACCCCCACCAGTCATTCTTACAAATCTTCCCAGGTTTATTCTTGTATTTAGCACAACCTGACACATTAATTACTTAGACAATAGATGATTTCAGATTGAGAATACCTGAAATAACCACGTAACACAAAAATGAGCAAATTCTCTATTTAGGTCAACAAAATTTACACTGTCTCAATTTATATTATGACTTTATTATAATAGGGCTATTGAGTTTGGGCTTATAGGATTTGTGTTTTCCAAAATAATTTTAAATACAAAATATCATATGATGTGGGATGCCCCTCTGTATGCTGTGAATATGTTTTATTACCACTGATTAATAGAGAAGCTGCTTTGGCCTATGGCAGGGCAGAATAGAGCTAGGCAGGAAATCCAAACAGAGATATAGAAGAAAAAGGCGGAATCGGGGAGACGGCAGCAGCCGCTGGAGGAGTAAGGTGCCAGAGCGTTATTGGTAAGCCATGGGGTGCGTGGTGATATACAGATTATTAGAAATGGGTGAATTTATATGTAGAGCTAGTTAGTAAAAGGCCTAAGCCATTGGCCAAACAAGTCATTAATATTAAGCCTCAGAAGGAGCAGCTGCAGGTACCAGTGGACATGAGAGAAACTGGTCCAGCAGTAGAGAGTAAAACAGAAAAGTCTCCGGCTACAACCATCCTTTGTATTTACTATTTATTTGTTATTTATTTTACCTCTTCTTGTCATACTGAGCAATGTAAATTTACCATATAGAACCAAAAAATAAGAAATAGAAGAGACAAAATATTTTATACCTTACTGCTACTATTTGATTTTTATTAAGATTAATTTTATGTTTTATGGGCATTAACAACATGGCTGTGTTAGATCATATCAAAATGACTCTCTTTCTCCCTTACTTATACTCTACAAAGTCAGACTCTGACTGTTTTGCCCTGGTTCTGTAAATTTGTCCCCTTCAGCATTACACTATAGTGGTATTTCATTTTAATAAATAAAGCCTGCCTGAAGATTAGAAAGTAAAACAGTCCCTCTGGTCAGCCTTACAGATCAGGCAGTGGTGATACACACCTTTAATTCCAGTAGCCACACTAGTTTGCCATAGAAACCAGGCAGTAGTGGTGCATGCCCTTAATCCTAGCCCTAGAGAGGAATGTAAGTTGGGAGGAGACAGCTCTCAGACACAGTCTCATTTGGAGATTCCAGGAGGCAGGGTCGCCATTTTGGACTGAGGTCAAGGTAAGAGGCAGTGGCTGGCTGTTTTGCTTTTGTGACCTTCAGGCTAAACCCCAATATCTGTCTCTGGGTTTTTATTAATCATGCTACATTACACCTTGAGGATTAGAACTGATGGAGGTAGGGTTTAAGAGAAACAGAGAAGTGGTGGCTTTGGGTGCAAACACCACAAAGCCAAAGCTTTATCGACTCACTGGGGAAGACACTCACTACAGTACTTTCAAGCACTTCCAAAGTGGGAATCATCTAAAACTGTGTTTAGGAATCACAAACATGTGAAACCAAGCCTACTACAGTCCTGGGGGTCTTTTCTGTAGTCTGTGGAATAGACGAACTAAGAGGAATAAAAAATTTGATATCCAGTTGTCAGTACTGGCACACTCCGCAGCATTAGAACAGCTGGGTTTAGAAACAAAAAGTACATGCAGGGGTATTTTTATTTTGTTATACTATATATAAAACTGTTCATTTGTTACATTATAATCTTTAAATGGACTTTAAAGGTCAGTGCTGGCTTTTGGTCTGTCTTCTGACTACTACATTAAACACTGACATCAGCAGCTATGAACCCTGAAATACCCTCAAAGGGAGAGAATTATTTTATTATATGACATATCTGTGTATCTGCAAATGATTACCTGAGTTTCTGTGTTGACTCAATAACAGCACTGATGGTAATAATACACTCATCTCTTTCTCCCCAGATCTCACGGGGACAGCAGTGTGGAGCGGTAAGGTGGCACAGCAGGGAGAGGCACCGGCAACCAAACCTGACAACCCGAGTTCAAGCCCTGAGGTTCACACAGTGGAGGAAGAGAATTGACTCCCACAAACTGTCTTCTGTCCTCCACACATGTGTTTTAGTACATGTATGCAAATGTGTGCACGTGCACACACATAGGCACACACCAATAATAATACTAAATCTAAATAATAAAGAGTAATGTATTTTTACATTCTGCTGGTTATTATTACTTATCAAATTCTTTTAAGATTGCAGCTTATTTACAAATATTCTATTTTTCAAAGTTTAACAATTCTTGTTTTTAAATATACTGTAATTCAAATAAATCAATTATGCCCTAAAACACAATAGAAATGACATTAAGAGTCCCCTAGAACCAAAGAATATTTAAAAATATTTTATGTGCATGTGTGTCTGTGTGAGGGTGTCAGTCTCCTAAAACTGGAGCTAAAGATGGGGGTGAGCTGCCATTTGGTGCTGGGAATTCAACCCGGGTCCTCTGGAAGAGCAGCCAGTGCTCTTAGCTGCTGAACCACCTCATTTCTCCAGGCCCCAAACCAAAGCACTTTAGCAAAGTGCAGAGTCCTTACCAACTCCAGAGGAGATTGATGCGACATCAATGTCACATGCTCTTCTTCTCGCCACTTCAGCCAGTGCCAGTTCACCCATATCCAGGGCAAGGTAATGGATATCCTTTGGAAATAAAGAAGACAAAGGGTTGATTAAAAAGAAATCTTGATAAAGTTACAAAGTAGAGTCTGAGAGGAAGACACATTTAGACAAGAGAAATAGATATGGACAATCAGCATTTGTTTTTCTGTTTTAAATTTATCAGTATTCTTTACGAGCAGAGTCTAATTTCCTTAAAGAACACAGATGTAACTATTTTAAGCCATAAAGCAAAAAGTATGTTTCTAATAATCAACAACCAGTTTCATTAAAAATAAAAACCTTAGCTGTGCGTGTGTGTGTGTGTGTGTGTGTGTGTGTGTGTATTTAAGGATTTAGTGGCTAAGGCAGTTTACACACACACACACACACACACACACACACACACACACGGTATGTGGTCCAGACTGGTCTCAAATTCTTCAGTTTAAATGATCGTTTTCTTCTGCCTTTCACATAGCTGGTCCTACCAGTTACGTCACTGCACTGGTCTGAGAGAGCTTGACTACACCTTAGCCTGAGCTCTGTACAAGGAATATCACACAAAACTTTATCTTTATAAGCTGAGAATATATGTGCTAATGTTAATACTATCATTTTTTAAATCCAGGTTATAAATAAGATAGATAAATTCTAATTCCATTCTCAATTTTTTGACTCTAGTAGAGAGGCAGATCAGTATAGGACAATTGTTAATTATTTGTGGGAATTACGAGAGGGGGAAGTAGCAGCATTTGCACATCTGTGCATATGCGTGCACATCTGTACATATGTGTGCAAAGCGTGAAGCACTCTGTGAGGAGATGGCAGGTCTGTCCTGTGGGAGAATTGCTGGGTGCTTGGGGAACGCAGTGGAAATTACGGAGTAAGTTCCATAGTGTGCAGAATGGTCACTGGAATAAAAATTCTACTGCAATAAAAATGGATAAAAAGAATATAAACTGACAGTCTATGATGAATAAATATAAATGCCCTACAATTATGTAAAGATATTTCATATTATTCAAATAAATGTAAATCAAAAAGCTAATTTCTGATTTTTTGAATTATATGAATTTATAGGAAATAAAATGCCATGCTTTGATATATGCACACTATGCAATGAATCATCACATCAGGGTGTTAACACATTGACTAAGTTTCTACAAGTTAACAATCAGCTGCAAGGCTTTGGCACACAAACATGTTCACTCAGGGCACAGTTCCTGAAGACTATAGAGGTCAGGGGTCGAGACTGTCCCACATGCAGACTTCTCAACTTAAGAATGGCTTCTGAATTTTTAAATGGTTGAAAGATCTGTGCTCAATTACTGTCCACGAACTTTGAAGGGCTGTGGAATTAGCGTTAGCTGCAGACTTGAAAATGTTTTAAACTAAAATTACAAGGGAAATTGCTTCTGTGAAACATGCTGTGATAAAATCGTTCTGATGAGAACTGAAATTGTTTGAATTGCGAGTCATGTCAGGCCTACACTGTCAAAAGATGTGTTTTCCAAAGTGATATCTTCATTCCTACACAAATTCCCAGAAATGTATTCTAATTTCAAACCAGAGCAATGTTTTTCAGGCCTGTATGCATGTGTAGAGAAAATTTCCATATTCCCAAATCCATTTGGTGTGCAATTAAGGAGCTTCTACTGGAAATGATTTGCAATGTAATGACATGCTAAAGACTTTCTAGCCTTTTGGCTAATAGAATTCTAAAACTGACTTCCGACTTGTGAATGCACTCAATGAGGGCCATGTCTCATGGACGCATACTGGCGTTGTCAGTACTGGTAAACACACATGGAAAGGGATATGCAAAGGTTTGAAAATACGGAAAGTCTCATCACAGATCAGCACCAACAAATCAACCTTTATGAGAAATTTGGGGACACCACTGTCAAATCTCCCAGAAAGCCCAATTTTTCATATTTATAAACCTGGATTACAAAATCTTGTACATAGTGTACATAATTTATGATATTTTAAATTTCACCAATAAAAGGTTTATGGAGGGTTTAGAGATAACGAAGGGGGTAGAGCATGTGCTACACTTCTCAAGAAGAAAGGATATCCAGAAACCACTTAAGGTTCCCTTCAAGAAGCACACCTCATTACCTAAGATGATACCACCTTAGAGTAAAGAGATGGGACAAAGCATTCCAGCAAGTGGATCTAGGAAACAAGTAGACATAGCTACTTCTAACTGGGAAAAGTAGGCTTGAAACCAAGATAAGACAGATGTGACAAAGTCACCTCAAAGGAACAATCCATCATGAAGACATTCAACTTTAAACACTCATGTACCAAACACAGGTGAAACCAATTTCATAAAACAAATATAACTAGATATAAGGTCATATTTTAGTGGCAAAACAGTAACAGTGAGTGATTTCTATATTTCACTTTCAAAGACAGGTCATCTGGATAAAAATTAGAGAAACAATGGAGTTTAATGACACCACAAACCAACTGGACCTAGCAGATACCTACAGAACATTCTGTTCAAACAAAAGAATATACTTTCTTCTGAGCAGCCCATGGAACTTTCTATAAAATAGTTCAATATTAGAACACAAAGCAACTCTCAGTAACTCTAGTATTCTGTTTTACTACAGTGGAACGGTGGAAACAAACGGCAAGAGAAATTGCCGAAACTCATTGAGGTTTCACAATACACTGCTGAATGATGAATGGGCCATTAAAGACATCAAGACGGAAATTTAAAATTCCTACATATGAATGAAAATGAAAACACAATGTGTCAAAATCTTTGGTATATAATGAAACCAGTCCTCAGAGGAAAGTTTATAGCTGTAAGTGTCCAAAAAAGAAAGAAAGAAAGAAAGAAAGAAAGAAAGAAAGAAAGAAAGAAAGAAAAGAAAAGAAAAATCAGAAAATTTAAATAAATTACTTAATGGTACTTTAAAGCCCTTGGGAAAACCAAGAACCAGAACAAACATAAAAGCAGTAGACAGGAAGAAACAATTAAGATAAAGGCAAATGTTAACGAAGTAGAAACAACAGAATAAAAAACATAAGGCAAAAAATAACCAAGTGCTGATTCTTTGAAAACAGAAACATAATTAACAATCCCTTAGCCAAATTAACAAAAAGCAAGAGGACCCATAATAATAAAACTTGAGATGAAAAGGGGAAATATTACAGATTCTAAGGTGCTGTTGATTACACAGCTATAATGGGACATCGATACTAGTCCTTCCAAGGCTCAAGGAACATTAAGGAGAAGGGCAGAAAGCACATGAGTCGGGTGACGGGGGAAGGCAATAAAGACTATCTTCTGGGCATGACCAGGACCTCTCAATGCTGTGTCAGAGATGGGAAGGGGTCATGGTGCCTGTGTAACCCTAGAGAACTCTAGGCTTTTGACAGATGCTAGAGGCAGGGGAGGTATTGCTCTTATATACTGCATGGCTATACCTTTCATCCAAAAGCTCAGTTTAAGTAAAGTTTCTAATTATTTTCAGTTTGAATGTCTTCCCTATATGTCAAATAATCCACTATTATTATGCCAAGACTTATGTGACATTTTATATCCATTAATATTTGTTTAGAAAATGATGAGCACCAGGCTTTGGTGCATATATATTTAGAACTGTTGTATCTTCTTACTATTTTTTCTCTCTTTATTACTATGTACTGGGCATCTTTATCTCCTCTACTTGGTTTGAAGTCGATTGTGGACCAAATAACTGTATGTCATATACATACACATATATGTATATAATATATAAATCTAGATTGTATATATATGAGATCAAATATACACTGTTCATGTAAATCTGATTTATTTTCCTTAATATGATGATCTATGATTCCATCCATTTTCCTGAAAACAGGATAGTATCATTTTTTTTAGATCTAATAAAATTCCTCTGTATATGTACCACATTTTCATCAGAAAAACAGTACCAATAAAGAAATGCAAATTTGCCGGAGAGTGGTGGTGCATGCCTTTAATCCCAATACTTGGAAGGCAGAGGTAAATGGATCTCTGTGAGTTCGAAGCCAACTTGGTCTACAAGAGCTAGTTCCAGGACAGGCTCCAAAGCTATAAAGAAACCCTGTCTCGAAAAACAAACAAACAAAATAAAACAAAACAAACAAAAACATAAACAAAAGCAAATTCTTCCTTTCCTTTGTATACCCTGGATTTCTTGTCTTATTTCCCCAGTTAAGACTGTGAGCAAGGCATTGAATAAGAATATAAAATTGCGGGCTGGAGAGATGGCTCAGAGGTTAAGAGCATTGCCTACTCTTCCAAAGGTCCTGAGTTCAATTCCCAGCAACCACATGGTGGCTCACAACCATCTGTAATGAGGCCTAGTGCCCTCTTCTGGGCTGAAGAAAGAATACTGTATACATAATGAGCAAATAAATAAATATTAAAAAAAAAAGAATATAAAATTGCTCCTTATGTATTTTCAGCACTTTTCGTTCAGTATAATGTTGACTATAGATTTACATAGATAACTTTTATGATGTTGAGGTATGTTCCTTCAACTCCTATTTTCTCCAGGCTTTTAGCATGAAGGAAAGAGAAACTTTGTCAACTGATTTATATGTAACCATTGAATAATCTTGTGATTTCTGTTCCGAACCCCATTTGTGTGTTATAATCCACACACTGATTTATCCATGTTGAACAACCCTTGTATTCCTGAAATGAAACTAACAGTTCTTAGCATATTTATTTTTAATGTGTTCTTGAATTTGGTCATTAAGTATTTACCAAGAATTTTATATCTATGTTTGTACCAGTTAGTGTTTGTCAAGTTGACATAAGCCTAGATATACTCAAAAAAAGGTAATCTCAAGAGAGGAATTTTCTCCATCAGACTGGTCTATGAGCATGTCTGTAGGGTTTTTGGTTTGGGTTTGTCTTTTCCATGATTGACATGAGAGAGCCCAGCCCACCGTGGGCGGTGCTACTCATGCTGGAGGTGGAGCCGAGCTGTTTAAGACAACAAGCTGAAAGTGACGGGGAGCCCGGCCCCAGTGCCTGCCTCCTGTGTGCC